GCACAGTCCTTGAGCGATCGTTTGCTTTCGGACATGAAGAGACGACGCTGTGCCAGACGCTCGGGCGTGCGAGCATGTACGGACTGTCCGCCGTGGGCGTCCACGCTGTCCGGGAGTGTTAACACTGCTAGTGCAGCAGTGACGGCGAGGAAGTTTGTAGAGATTCGGACCATAGTTGCGGTAGGTACAGAGGATGCAGGTGAAACAGCGAGTGGTGTTGGCTGTTGTGGTGGGGTTGTGCTGAAGATCGCAAAATGGGAAATGGGCTGTAGCTGCGACGAGCTGGTTTTCCGAGGGTGCTGTCATGGTACTCTTAACAGCAGTCGTAAGGGAGGGCATTGAAATCTATACATGATAATATCGTTTTAATTCTGGGAGTGTAGGCTTTCCAACACAAGGATATCTTCGGAGCCGGGATTACAAAAATACAACATGTGCACTTGAAGCCCGAGATGGTATTAAAAAGATGGATCACGTAAGTACCAGCGCTTATCGGACGCTCGCTCAAATGGTGCGGCGAACGAAGGCAGGTTGTAAACTGCCGATAGCGACTAACTGGTATGTGCTGGACAAAATTCATGGGATGATGTATGTCTAAGAGTCCTGGTAAAACAAGCACATGTATATTGAAAAGAAGGCAACGTTTAACCTGTCGCCTGAAAAAAAATAAAAAAAATTCCAGATTAATTTCGATTCACTCATGATTTGCACATCGTTACTCTTTGCTGTTTCGATCTTATCGCATTACGTTTTTACTGTACGAGTTCCTGTAGGCCGAGTGTTCGTGGTCGTTCCCCAGAAACTACGTTGGACACAAAACATTTTTTATAGCTGCTCGCTCTCTTTCGTTTTTACTAAAGCATAACCGACTAAATCTAACAAAGCACAACCTCAATTTTAGGTTATGCTGATCTTCAAATCGCGTAATCAGATAGTTACTTTGTTTTATTACCAGCTGCATCGTGAGTACTGTAGCGGGCGAATTTTACGCGTTGGACACAGCACGGAGCTATTGGTGGGGGTCACCGGTGGTATGAGCTAACCGAAGCATGTTTTAGTTCAAATTTCAGCATAGCTTTTATATATATTCGACTAGAACAGTAGATCGCAGTAGTATTTCGTAGCATATGCAAGCGAATGCCAGCGCCCAAAGGTGGTGATGATCTTGTTAAACGAGGAGGTCCTCGAATCGCAGTCTCAACAACGTTCATGTGTCAGGGCGGTACCACATGTATGCACGCTCTCAGTGTAAGTATTGCTATCATAGACGAGGCGATCTCAGGATCTGCTTCCCGTGCGATGTCCCAACCAAAAATGATTTAGTACATGTACTTTTTTAGTTGTAGACGCATGCAATAGCTCTAAGTTTAGTACAGAACTGGGAGTATTAGCTGGTAGACTAGTACCTGTACATGTATCCGGTCTAAAACGACTTGGATGAGGCTCCTAGCATATCTTGGTGGTTGTGGATTTGAGCACATGATCGCGTTATCGCCGATTAATTTCTTCACAAAGAAAGACCAGCAGATCACAAGGTGTTGTGAGGCCACGACTGGCGCGATGTGCTGTGCACGGACTGTTCGTGCTGGTCAACGCCTGCGGGTGAATGCAGTAACTGTACGAAGGCAAGAGTGCAGCGATCAGATCTTCGGCAGACAACCTGGACATGAATGACGTGAGCCACATTGTGCTAGCCATATCCAACATGGCAGCACCCTCGGAAAACCAGCTCGTCGCAGCTACAGCTCATTTCCCATTTTGCGATCTTCAGCACAACCCCACCACAACAGCCAACACCACTCGCTGCTTCACCTGCATCCTCTGTACCTACCGCAACTATGGTCCGAATCTCTACAAACTTCCTCACCGTCACTGCTGCACTAGCAGTGTTAACACTCCCGGACAGCGTGGACGCCCACGGCGGACAGTCCGTACATGCTCGCACGCCCGAGCGTCTGGCACAGCGTCGTCTCTTCATGTCCGAAAGCAAACGATCGCTCAAGGACTGTGCCAACTCCGAGGCTTCGCGCAGACTGCAAGAACGCGCCGTCGCCCGTCGTGCGGCCAAGGCCGACAGCCTCCGCGCCGAACGCCGCCAGCGCCGTCGCCTCGATCTCGACACCGTGCTGGCCACCAACCACAAGTCCAACCTCACCGGCCTCACCAATGAGACGAGCCCCAGCGAGCTCTTCGGAGACGACGTCAAGTGTATCCTCGAGCCTGAGGTCACGCAGGGTCCGTACTACGTGAACGGCGAGTTGATCCGCTCCGACATCCGTGAGGACCAGGAGGGCGTCGACCTGTACGCGGAAGTCCAGATCATCGACGTCAACACGTGCGAACCCGTGCAGGGTCTGTACCTCGACTTCTGGCACTGCAACACCACGGGTGTGTACTCAGGCATCGTGGCCAGCGGTAACGGCGACAGTTCCGATACCACCAACGTTGACAAAACGTTCCTACGTGGACTCACTCCCACTGACGAGGACGGTGTGGCGTCCTACACGTCCATCTTCCCGGGTCACTACACGTCCCGCGCCACGCACATCCACATCCTCGGCACGTACAACGGCACTCTGCTCGAGAACAACACGTACTCGGGTGGCTACGCGTCGCACGTGGGCCAGCTCTTCTTCGACCAGGACCTCATCAGTGAGGTGGAACTCACGGCACCCTACAGCACCAACACCCAGGAGCTCACGACCAACGCCGAAGATCAGATCCTGTCCGAAGAAGCTGCCGAAGACTTCGATCCGTTCTTCGAGTACGTACTGCTGGGTGACTCGGTGTCGGACGGCGTGTTGGCCTGGATCTCCGTCGGTGTCGACATGACCCGCGCACAGACCATCACGGCGGCGGGTACGCTGACGGCGGACGGCGGTGTCATGTCTGAGTCCACGAACGCCATGGGCGGAGGTGGCGGCATGGGCCCCGGCTCCGGTATGGGTGGTACGGCCCCTGGCTCCGGCATGGGAGGCTTTGGCGGATCGGTCGGTGGTCCGGAGGGAAGCTTTAACGCCGCATCATCGGAGACTGATGTTACTCAGAGTACCACGACCGGCGTCACGCAGAGCACGACTTCAGGCAGCGTTGCAGCAGAGGCGTCCGATCCGGCGTGCAGTGTGCGTAGAAACCTCTAAGGGTCCAGGTGTCTTTTGAGTGTCGGGTGGCTGATACGCCTTCCTAGCAGTTCTTGAACAGTCAAGTGTCGTTTTTAAATCTAGAACAGAATTCTTGCTGTCCTCTAGTTTCTGTGACTAAAAAAATTAAAGTGCGCACGACCATTTTTCTGGTTGCATTAAATCCATTCCGTTGAGCTTTCGCATCCATGTTGCTGCCATGTCGGGCTACGTCCACGTCCTGCAATGGCTCGTAGAGAACCTTCGAAAAGATTTCTCTTGCCTCCGAGACGGATGCCTCAGCCCTATAGACCGCGCCGCTCAGCATGGACACCTCGCCGCAGTCGCCTGGCTGCATGAAAACTACCCCAAGGGCTACAGTCCTGATACTCTCGCTCTGGCGGCCCAGTGTGGTCGAATTAAGATCCTCCGGTGGCTTCACTCTTACGACTCTGTAAGTTGCACGTCTGAAGCCATGGTTGGGGCTGCAGCGCACAATAAACTAAATACAGTTAGATGGCTTTATTGGCACGGGCGTCAGGAGGACGTGCGTGCTGCCTTTATAAAAGCTGCAGAGTACGGACACGTCCCCGTTGTGGCGTAGTTGTACCTCCACGATGGCCACACAGACGTCGTACAGGCGATGCTAGTCGCAACCCGTAGTGGTCAATTGGCCGTTGTGAAGTGGCTCTACCACAACGCCCGAGAGCTGGAGGGAGACGACCGCGCATACAATCTCCAAGCTGCTATTCAGCTTGCAGCCAGTCAGGGTCACACTCGTATAGAACTGTGGCTACTGAATCGAACACGAGGTGTCGACCAAGTCGACGACTACCAATGCAACGATATCAACAGAGGACGCAAGCGGGTCCGACGGAGTGATCATATTGCATATGATATCACCAGGGAACGAAGCAAGCGAGTCCGATGGAGTGAGTCGGTTGCGCAACACACTCAAGTATAAATCGCCCGATGGCGAAGTTGCGCTACTGCACAGTGTGTGAGCATCGAATTAATAAATAATGAAAAGTGTGTTAACTATAATAAATCCTTCTTGTGGCTCGCCAAGAACACATTCGGCTATTACCCACCGTATCCGTTGCGTGAACACTCCACGGTGAGGTACTTTACACAGCTCCGCGCGACCACTCGCCGTTTGTCGTACGCAGCCACCATAAGGATGTCTGAGTGTGAGGCTGTAGCCGCCGCAGCTGTGGAAGCTGCTGGCAAGCCTCCGGTTATCAAGAACCTCCCAGAAGTGCGCGTGTTGGGACTGCGAGCTGTGATCCCCAACTACCGAGCACAAAGAACGCTCTGGGATCAAGTTCTCGCTTTCTTCAGAGCCCATGGCCTCGATATCGCTGGACCATGTTTGACAATCTACTACGACCAAGGCTTCAAGGAGAAAGATGTCGACGCTGAGGTGTGTCTCCCGATCGCCCAGGACGCCAAAGTCGATGAAACTGCGGCGTCTGCGTCGTCCATTTCGGTTCGCACACTGCCGGTAGTGCCACGAGCTGCGTCAATCGTTCATCTGGGATCGTACGACGCACTGACCCCTTGTTACATGAAGCTGTACGAGTGGATTGACAAGCAAGGTCTTCGTCCTAACGCACCCGTGCGAGAGATTTACCTACGTATGGACATCCAGGACGTCAGTGAGAAATCGTTCGTGACGGAGATCCAGCAGCCTATAGGCTGAGAAAAGAGCACTCCTCTTCTCCAAGGCTTAAGACCAAACGTATATTGAGTTAAGTAGCGAAATGTCCTTCGATTCAAAGTATTTTTCTCTCAATTGCGTCCACAGATCAAAGGATCTTTTTAGGCAACAGGCAGTTGGATTTCCGTCACGCTGTCCTGGTCTTCCTCTTCGTTGCCAGTCGGTCTCTTCACGTATACCTCACGTGAAGGCCCAGCAGGTGTGAGCTTCCCGGAATGGATCCAACCGAAAAACGTCTGGTACGCGGACATGTACCCCTCACAAGGTCCAGTGTACACCATGACAGCAGCTCGATCCACTGCAGGCACCTCGCGAACGCTGAAAGGCGCTTCTTCCGGGATTTGAGCGTCGTCCGCTATGGGGAGACAGACTTCCACCTCCACGTCGGTTTGTCTGTCGTCTTTAGTGTAATTGATGGCAAATGTTGCTCCAGTGACCACGACGTCATGAGTTTTGGCAAACCCAAAGATCTTCTCCCAGAGACCTCCTTGCGCTCGGTAGTTTGGGAGAACAGACCGCAGCGACAGCACTCGCACTGCGGCCAGGCTCTTGATCGTAGGCGTCTCCGTCGTCATTGAGTTCTCGAGATGTCTCTTCGAACAATGGAAGAAAAAGAATAAATTACCGGAGCTCGCGCCAAAAATCTCAACTTCCAGATTGGAAATGTCGAGTTGGCGGGAGACGCGCTGAGTGCGGTAATGCATCAAGTCTGTCACTTGCGAATTTGCTTCAGCCCAGTCACAACACCATAAAGACACATATCAAGATGGAAGCATTGCCTGACTGCAGATTAGTTCAGCCAGCGTTGAAGCTTCAACAAATAGCGGTGCAAGACTGTCGAGAGCGACAATGGGCTGGAAACTGCGGCTGCGACGGATCCTGCGCGTTCCAGTTCTTCAACGACGACATGGAGATTGTCGACGTGAGATCAAAGCCAGTAGAAGAGGAACAGCTTCAAGAAGGCTCGCCGCCGTTGATTCTGCATCTGCTGCTCATGTGGTGATTTCCCCGTGCAAGAAAGTGTACCCATTGCGAGGATTTGGATACTACTTTTGAACCCGGAATAAATTCTTCCAGGTCATTAGTTATCATGCTTATTTGATTCATACTTTAACGAAGTAAAAACAACGAAGCCATATTCCGCCCGTTAAGTACGACACAGGACTCAAAGGGTACACAGTTAATAGATATGTTACATTCATTCTTCGTTTGGCTGCCTACCTTGTCTGGTGGTGACTCGCGAGGCCTCTGGCGCGCTCATGTGCGTACTCTCACCTCCTACAGAGCGTGAGCTGTATGCTCTGCTTCCCATTTGCGCCTCTAGTGTCCATGTTGTGTTCCGAAGTCTCGTCCCTCGCCTGCAGGCGTTGGATACATTTCTACAAGCTCATAGTGTCGATTTGACGGGCGAAGAGAGCGAAATCGTCGACTTTCTGGAGGCTCTAAGTCACCACAGACACCAGGAAACCGTATTTAACGCGCTGGTGCAGCAGCTTAAGCTTCTTACAGACTTTAACGCGCTCCAGCAAGACTCGAATGAAGATGCACCGAATAATTTACTGCAAATGCTGCTGGAGGCTCCAAGGAAGAGCCGAGAAGTTCACTGGATGCACCTACAGATCGACGCCTTAATGAGTCACGAAGAGACTGAGGAAGAGAGTTGTGACTGGCAGGAACACTGGAAAGAAGACTACAAGCAGCAAATTGAGTTTTTCGAGGAATTTTTAGACTCCAAAAAGTTACAGGAAGAGCTACAGATACTGGAGACAAGTGAGAAGTTGGAGCTGCTGACTGCTCTTCAGTATGAGAGAAAGAAATTGAGTGGAAGTGACGAGGAGCTGATGCCAGTGCAGGAGCAAAAGCTATTGGATCGAGCGATTGATAAGGTCTCTGAAGCTGCACATGACGAGGTTTTAACGGTTCCGGAGTGGTTTGTACCCAGATATGAGGTGCAAATACGAGAAGATACTGGCAGCTTTGAATGCTGCGTGGAAGGAGAGTGGAATGGGCTTAATGTTACACTGGAATATGGCGAAGATATGGATACAGTTATCAATGGTGCTGAGAAATGGTGTGGCGTGAAAGATCCCTATATTGTGACGCTGCATGGAGCGTGTCATGTTGGGAAGACTCCGTTTATTATCTACGAGTCTATACGGGACTTTATTTCTCTTCTTGACTATGCGAACAACGTCCAAAATTCTCGAAAAGTGTGGAAAAGATTGTTAGAAGCGGCACGAGGACTCCAGTATCTTCACGGTTTAGGTATTGCGCATGGAAATATTACTGCAGCCTGTGTGGTTGTTGGAGCTGACAAGAAAGCGAAGATCAAGTCCAATACGTGGGAGGACCTCCCCACCGAGTCTTCAAAAGAGGACGATGTGTACGCGTTCGCGTCAATTATTCTAGAAGCAACCAGTTCGTTTACGATAGAAAATCCAGACGATATCCTACCAAGCATTGAAAATGAGCAACAATATCCTTGTGGTATGAACTACGCTGCCTGGTTGATCGAAGAAATGACATCGAGTAATCCACATGATCGACCGGATATGAACGCTGTAGTGCGGATGTTACTGAATGTGACGGAGCGTGAGCGTCCGTGGAGTGATGTGCAGTTCCCCGAGCTACTATTACACGCCCCTGACGTGTGGACTGCGCTTCGTACTGCTAGTCAACGTCACGAAACTGGAGTGGGGATGTGTGCTCGCGTACTTAGACGTCTGGAACAAGTGTTAGTTAGACTCTGGGACGAAGGAATCGTGTTTGGTGATGGAGAGGATGTCGAATACAATTGGCAAACACGCACGGAATATCTTCTACGTAGCATGCGCTATCTCACGAGACACTATTTGCCGTCAAATGGACGAGAACTGCTCAAAATTGCCCAAGCTCGTCGCTTTTCGAATGAAATTCAACAAATGCATCACCAATTAGACGCTTTACTTGCAGAATTTGACAGTGAAAATTTATATGCCGAGATTGACCCCACTAGCGAGAGTATAAGTCGAAGTGCGGAGGAATGGGAGCTCGAATGGGAATATGACTGTGGGGATCTAATGGCAACGTTTCATGAATATCTCGATGGTCTAGAACAGTCTGACGGTGTTAGGACTGACGTAGCTATGGAGGCCATGACCGTCATGAAGCACGAGCTAGACAACTTCCGCTACGCATTTACTGATGCTCAGCAAGATTTAGTTGTCCGAGCTTTTGATATTTGTGTCCGACAAGTAGGGACAGTGGTGACTTGTACACCTGAGTGGTTTATATCCCCATATGAAGTGCGGGACGGAAGTTGGTGGGAAGGTGTGCGTGTTACGATACAAAAACCTCAACAGGATGCAAACGCGTGTGAAATTGTTCAAAGACAAGCAGATATTTGGTCTGAGCTCGTTCATCCGCACGTGGTTGAGCTGTTCGGCGCATGCCACGTTGGATCTGCTCCGTTTTTCGTTTTTGAACGTGCCCGAGGAGGTTCGTTAATGGAATATCTATCACGGTATCAGAACACTACACAATTGTGGCGATTACTTTACGAGACTGGATTAGGACTACAGTATCTGCACGAACGCGATATTGTACACAACGAACTTAGTAGTGATAATATTGTCGTTGTGGTGGAGAAAAGTTCGGCTGTGAGAAGAAAACTCCACGGTAGGAAGGCGAAGCGGTCTCTCCGATACGACAACTCGATGCAGGAGGTTGCAAAGCTTAACGGACTGCAATTCGCGCCTCTGAATGACTCACGGCTGTTTCAAACCTATCGGTCATTCACCGATGAAGATTCGGGACGGTGGTTATCGCCAGAGCGCAGGGGAGACGATATGGTACCAGAACTACCGTCGTTGGCGTCTGATATCTACAGCTTCGGTATGATAATTATTGAGGCAGTTTTGCACGGCACAGACAGTTGTGACGAGTTCCTGAATGGCATTCAGGACGAAGATCAGTCGATCTTTGAGCACATACTGGATCAATTCGAACACGAAGCATGGGAACTGGTTAAGAAAATGTGTGCATGGCAACCAGAATTACGTCCGTCAATCTCGTATGTAGTACAGAAGCTCGGAGAACTGGCAAGCAGACAACGAACTGCAGATCAACTTGGTGACTATCGCGAGTTTGGGGAGATGAATGCAGCAAGTGTTACTGCTGATGACGAGCATTTTAGTATTCCAAGAGAACCCAAAACAGCTGTGGATTGTATGATACACGTACCTGATGAAGCACCTTCAACCATCTCTCAAGCGTTGCAGACTTTAAAGTCACAGATACAGAATTCTACGGATAATGGTATTGATTTGGAGGCAAGCAATGACGACTTGAACGTACAAATTCTGCGTCGAATGGATGATATCTATCAGCGCTTGTGTGATATCGAGGCAAATATTGGCGAAGATCCTGACATCAAAGATTTTTCTACTATCGTGGCCAATTTCGTGGATATTTTGACACAATTCATTGCTCACGTGAACGTCAGCAGCACTGGAAACTGTCTTACGCAGATTGTGGCAATTCGTCAACGCACTAACGATAAATTTTCGTTTCATAAAGATCTCGACGAATTACTGAACGAGCTTCACTCATACGAATGTTTGTCGTCAGAGAAGGAAAAAATACACGACTGGAAACGTCAATGGTATTTACACCGAGCTCGTCAGACACTGAGTCATACGTGGACATTGATGAGTCCTAACGCTGCCAACGCTGCCGATTTACTGCTCGACGAGCTCAAAGACGCCAATGATCGTGAAGAAATACTAGCATTTCTACGTTTTGAAGTCACACGCCACCGCTCTAGCTACACATCTGCGCAAGTGAAAGCCATGGGTGCAGCATGTACTGATATTTCCCGCCGGTTATCTGCTACTACTACAATTCCTGAACATTTTCACTTGTGGCAGCCACCCAGATGGTTTATCCCACTGTACGAAGTGGAATTTAACCCACGTGAGTCCTTAGGCCACGGTGCCTTCGCCTCCGTTCACATGGGAACGTGGCTCGGCACACCCGTCGTGATCAAGAAGCTCACTTCTGGGTCAATCAACCCACTGGGTTCACCGCCTAGCGCTGTGTTCTATCGAGAATTGAGTATCTGGTATCGACTTAACCACCCATACGTGGTTAAACTGTACGGTGGCTGCCACGTTGGCGGCCAGCCGTTCTTCGTGTGTGAACCGGCAAGCAACGGCCGTCTCGATACGTATCTACATCGCTTTGACCCTCCTGGTCCTAGTGTAGGTACAAGTAGCTTGAGATCTACATCTACAATTAGTGGACATACCAGTGGCTTCAGTAGAAGTACGTCGAACGGGTCAAGCACCGGTTTCTCAGCTGATAGTATAGGCTGTCACCGACGCTGCGAGGCTTGGAAGAAGCTGCGTCAGAGTGCACTGGGGCTACAATACCTTCATCAACACAGCATTGTACACGGCGATCTCAAGTGCGACAACATCCTCGTGGCTGCCGACGGGACGGCGAAACTCACAGACTTTGGCCTCAGTACTATCTGTCGATATGTTGACAGTGAGCAGGAACAGAGTAGTAATGTGTCGGAAGTGGGTGCGCAGAGATGGAAAGCGCCGGAATGTTTGGCCGGCGCACAGCCGAGCTTCGAGTCGGACGTGTACTCGTTCGGCATGTGCATTCTTCAGGCTATTAGTGGCGAGTTCCCATGGGGATCTCGGATGCCGGATGCAGCCGTTCGCTTCCACGTACGACGAGGTGTATTGCCCCCTCGACCTAAGGGCTTTGAAGACGATGCACACTGGGAATTAGTGAAGCAAATGTGCTGCTTCGATCCTCAACAACGACTGAAGCTTCCGGTGGTCGTGCAACGACTCGCTCGCTTCGCGGACCTGGAAGCGAGACGACAAAGAGGAGGAGTTAGTGTACATATGCGAGAGCTGTTGTTCGGTGGGTCGGCTACAAGTTAAGACGTCAGTGTTCAGTTGACACCACGTTGAAGGTTCGTGTATCGTCGATAGTATCAACTTGATACTCATGCGATGTCATCTCAATTGCGATTAGATACAGGTTATTCGAACGCTAAGCGAGCGAGCGACATCATCGCCAGGACAACGAGACCACCACACAGGACACGACCACCGAGTCGACCGGCGACAACGCGTCAGGCTTGGGGGGTTCAAATCCCAACTTTTTGCTGTCCTTTGTGGCTAGACTCGACCTTCGAGAGGACAACTCGAGACGCGCTTCGACTTTTGATCCAGTGTGCCAAGTGTTGTCCTACCGTTGTAAAGTCAACCATGAAAACCATCATCAGCTTCCTGACCACCACGGTGATGTACAATAGGTACGTCACTCTGACCCCTACATTCACTCTAAGGGTTTAGGGGTACGCTAGATGCCGTTTTATGCAAAGGAAGAGCGGACGAGATGCGCAAAAACGATACTTCCGTCCGCTCGATAAATTCATGACTGAAATTGTTGAATTCATGACTTTCCGGATGACACAACAATCAAACACCCCGTTTTAAGGATGAAACGCATTAGATACATCTTAGAATACGAACCAACCACTTCTGAACGTAAGCGAGCCATATCAGTATATACCCACGATAAAAAAATAAAATACCGGTTTGACATCCGCGATGTTGCTTTATTGATTTCGGTTCCGAAACGATTCATAGGTTGTTATGGCCCTGGTAAAAACCAACCAGTAAATCTATAAGAAGCATCAATGAATCAATCTATAAGAAACGTCAACCAATCAGGCGATCAATCAATGAGAAACATCAAGCGAATGCCGCGATGTTGCTGTGTTATTTTCGATACCCGAGATGATTGATCAACATCAAAATCGTTATGGCCCTGGTAAAAATCAATCAATACAATAAATCTATAAGAAACATCAACGAATCAATCTAAAAGAAACATCAACGAATTAATCTATTAGAAACATCAACGAATCAGTGTTCAAACGATCAATCTATAAGAAACATCGAGCAAATGCCGCGATGTTACTTTGTTAATTGACATACCGACAGCATTGATATATGTCAATTTCTACATGACCATGGTAAAATTTATTGTCCCTGCTTGGACCTCGATGTTGCTGGGACAAAAAGTTTATTAATTATGCAGGTTAGAGATCTTCTCGTTAGTCTTATAGTACTTTTATATTCTTTGGACCTCTGACCCTACAAAAATTATACTTGTCTTTAGAATCTCAGTCAATGATGCTCATCATCTAATATCTTTTTCTAATAGTGGAGCTACAACTTCACTTTTTGTTGGGACAAACTGAAACTCGCAGAATCACTATGAATTCGCATTATGATCGCTTCTCGTGAAATGAATCGATACAATTTTGCCAGGGACGAAAGTCTTTTTTCATGGGGACAAAGATATTATACACTTCTTCAACGGAATCATATGTTTCCAATCAATCAAGGGACGCACTCGGGATTCATCACACAGACAAGCCGTCAGAAGTAAGGTACGAATCTTCGTTTCTGAAACTGCATGGGTCTCGTGATGCCAACACGTATTGGCACAAAAAACATAGCTACATCGTAAGGAGAACATAATGACAACATGAAGAGAACATGACATGAACATGATAACAATTGCAATACACATCTATCCAATGTTTCGTTTGCAATCTGAATTCACTAGTCCGGAGTTAGGCGGTCTAACTCCTTCTTCAACCTCGGGCGCGTATATTACACATGCTCACACCAATACTAATTCATGGACTATTGTGTAAGGCTGTTTTGTGTTTTTTGCTTTTCATATGTTTCGATTTATGCTTCCTAGCGTATGCATGACCGCAATCACAAGCAATTGATTCGTAAAGAACGTCTCTTTTTGCTGCCGATAAGTTTTGTGGTAATCCCTAATCTTGGATTAGTCATGTCTGTATGCATTGAGCATCTGCTTGTTTTTGTTTCATAATCCTTGAAATACAAGCGTTTGATACCGAATGAACAATTCTTATTGATGGGTTTGAGTTTATTGATCCATAGCTGCTCCAAAGCGTATAATTGTTTTCGATCAGCGACTTCGTATTCCGTGATAGAAATATTTTGAATTGATTGATTCCGTATTTCTGAATATATGGATTAATAGAGACTTCGCTATGCTTTCCCTTCAACCAATTATTGTAACTTTTCTTATGTTCTTGCCAACGATGTTTCAATTGATTCATAGTTGAACCGATATAAACGATATTGCTTTGAGTATGAACGATTTTGTAAATTCTTCCCATCAAATTGCGTCTTTAGTGGTATTTTATTATTTCCCCCCCTCAAAAGCAACTAGCTGTAGCAACTCCTTCTTCAACCGCGGTATTTTCCATCACAAACGAAAGGTCAGACCCACGGAGCTTCATCAAGGAACTTCTTGATTTCGGGGTACTCACAGATTAGAGGGTAAAGCCACTTCGCGTACCGTATAGTCTTAGTAATAGGCGACAAGGGTCGAACAAAGTGTGTAACAAGGTACCCATACAAATCCTAAGATTTAAAGTTGACTCGACACAGATTTATTAACTGTCAGTCCATTTTTTTTCGATGCCCAACGTCAATGCAGTACTCCAGTTTTTTTTTTTTTAAGTATCATCGTTATCACTATCATCTTCACTCTCACTACATTCGTTTCCAATGTCGTCCTCGGAGTTGATCTCTTCTTCTGTAATTTTGTAGCGTACAAGCTCAGCAACAACACTGTCGATATCATGAACTTTGTCTTCTTCGCTGCTGACCTCGCGAACATCCATAAGAAGGCCCGCCCTTGCAAAACCGCTTACTATGGTCTTAGCGGACAGGTTCGACCAGCACGACGTGATCCAATCCGTTATCACAGGTCGACTGGGTGCAACTAGCGAAAACTTTTCATCGTCGATTTTTTTATTAAACCAGCCACAGTTTTAGCTGATTCCTCTTGGTCTAGGGTTGTCCGTGCCACGTTAATTTGAGCTTCAATTTGTTTTCTGCGACTTAGACGGTCTATTTTGCCATCGTTGTAAGAGCGTAGATGTTACAGCGCAACCAGTTCACAGTGATTCTCCCTATGGTTATCGGAGGGCCACCGGTTTTCTTCCGTAGTTACCTGATGACCCGCAACGTAGGAATTAGAGTATTCAAAGCCTAAAAATAGCACACTGTAACCTGTAACCAACTGTTTTTTTCTGGAACACTATTGGTCAAAACAGTATGTCGCTTAGGACCAAACGTCGCCTATTACTAAGACTATACGGTATTGTTGATCAACTTCCCAGATCTCAGCAATTTGTTTGCCTCGGTACTTTCCAAAATTTACTGTGAGTGTAGCCTATACCTATAGACCGATACATCTGTGAAATAAATTAAATAATACAAACTAATAGCGCGAGTTAGCCCATAAACACGAAATGTTGATGGATCAATGTCGCTATGGACTTGATAAAGACATAATTAATCTATAAGAAGCACCAATCAATAACGACATCCGAGAATGTTACTTTGTTAATTTACATACCGAGAGTATTGATAGAAATCAAAAACGTTATGGCCTTCGTCCATAAGGAACATCAACCAATTGACTATAAGAAATTTAATCAATCTATCTATAAGAAACATCGTCGAATAGTGGCATCTGCGAGATGTTTCTTTGTTAATTGACATACCGACAGCATTGATAGATGTCAATTTCTATGTGGTCCTGGTAAAATTCATTGTCCCTGCTAGGACCTCGATGTTGCTGGGACAAAACGTTTATTAATTATGCAGGTTAGAGATCTCGTTAGTCTTATAGTAACTTTGGACCTCTGTCCCTACGAAAATTATTCTTGTCTATAGAAATATCTCAGTCAATGATGCATGCTCATCTATCAGTGGAGTTACAACTTCACTTTTTGTTGGGACAAACAGATACAACACGAAACGCGGGGGAATCGGCGTTGCGGTTGCTTCTCGTGTAAGGAAACGTCATAACTTTACGCAGGGACGAAACTCCCGATACGTGCAAACTTTAATCGCAATCGATGGAATTGTGTGGCTGCTCTTCCGTCTCGTACCGATTAGCTTTCGTTCGCGCAAAGCGTGCTTATACTGTAAGTTAAAGCGGCGCTTGTATTAACGCTCACACTCTTGAAGCAAAGTGCAAGATGGCGTCGCTAAATGTTGTCTGGATGTCAAATTCGAATCGCATTTCCGGGAAATGCTTCGCACAGAAAATACGACGGCGACAAACCCTCTCCGTATTGCAGTTTAAAGTCATCCAACATAAAGATGCACAGCTTGCCAGCAACATGACGACTGTGGTCATTGGAATCGATGGACACCGCCGGAGAATTCGGACCAGTAATTGTATCGGATCGATCATTCATAACTTCAGGATTCGTAGGAATTATCTACAATTTTTTTAAGCTTCTTTTTAGAAGGTTAAACCCTATAGACGACATTCATGGCGGAATTAAACACCACAACACCCGCCATTTGTGCGTCATAACACACGACAAAAAGCTTTTCGCAGCGGAGCATGTCTGCTGCGATACGTTCCATCGGCACATCGTCAATCGAAGCAACACGTCGAAAATCAATCAGACAGAAATCGGTCAATCCGAGTGAGGAGTAGCGGCCACCAGGCGCAAATTCGTCGATGTGTTCGGCCAAGTTGCTGGCTTCTCGCAACAACTCGATACCCCAAAAGAAGTTATTGCCATGAATTGTAAAATCAACAAACCCGCTGGATCCAAACAACGCACCGACATCGACTGACGTCACTAAAGTGTTTGGTGTGCAGCGATACGCAGTCTTGTAAAACTCCATTTGCCACGATCTTTCCAATGGGATACCACTCGACAAACTTCTGCCAAGCGTTTGACAGATGCTCTCGTAGTCAATCGCTCGTACCAATCGAGCGATCATCTCTGGAAGCGTCTTGGGAACGTGAAGTGCTCGGACGGTCTGACCAACGCGCATCCTGACGAAGAGTCGCCACATCACTGGCGATGAGAACACAAGCTGGCGCTCCGTTTCCACCAGAATACCCGTTCGCAAACATTGCTCGACGAAAACAGCATCAGAATGAGGGTCGGCACCATAAGCAATGCGTTCCAGTCGATCCAGCTCGTCCGACTTGAGGTCTTTCAACACTTCTACAGCACGTGTTGATGTCATGGCTTCAAACAGCGCGTTATCGTTGGTTCGATACAACGACCCACTTTGCAGCATACGGATCCACTCGGCAGGCGATGGAAGATCAATCACACTCTTGCCACGCGAGGCATAGACTTCGTTGAGTGCATGAATCACAGTCGTACAGAGACCCACGTGCCCACCCGTCAGCTCTTCCACGTTGGCACAGAATGCCTCCATCTCTGGCGACGACAACCCATCAACGCCCTTGAACCACTTGGTGACGTACTCGACGACTTCGGCATGGCTAAAGTTCAGCTTGTCGGAACCCAACACAATCTGTTTCTCGAAGTGGATTGGAGTAGCGAGACTGGACCGCTCCACACGAGAGCCATACGCTGCAAACATCAATACTCTGACGTTGTGGTGCGCGTCGCTGAGAAAATACTTGACCAGCTCCCAGAAACCACTGGATTTGCATTTCGGAGATGAGTTTCCATTTTTGAAGAGCACTTGCGTCTCGTCCAGCACCAAATACACTTTATAGCCTGCCTTGGGAAGATGTAATGTTGCTTCGCTCCAGCCGATCTCACAACGCGTCTTGAAAACTTCCTCAAATGTCGAATCGTCGGGTATTGCCAACGCAGAGAAGTTGATCACAGCCATCTTTTTTTTTCCTCCCTATGTCTTTCCACCAAGGATCGGCTGACTAGCGTCGCCAGTGAGGTTTTCCCAGTCATTGGTGGGCTTTTCACCAGCAGGACGTGCGTTTCTTCGAGTCGGCGAATGATATCCGTGGTGAGAGTGATCCGAGAAAGCGTAGGTGGATCGTCCAGATCAATGCCCTCTTCCCTCGAAATCGATCCACGCAAACCACACCAGATGACGTCTTCGCGTGTGCCAGCATCCCCTTGCTGTCATAACACCAGCACAACCACCTCTTTGGTCGGAACCACCACGAGCACATTGACAAGGCCATTTCCTGCTGCCTCGTCATCTTCATCCACTTCGACCATTTTCTCTTCAGACAAACCAACGCGTCGGAGCTTCGCTTGTGGAACACCTAGATGTGGTAGCCCATCAACGTCGCTCACACTATCGGCTTCGTCGTTTGTCATCCATGCGTCGTCGCCCTTCGTGGCCAAATACAGATTCAGACGTCGCGCAGCACACGTGATGTCCTCATTCTTTTCCTTAATCGCCTCCTTTAAGTCCCCCACTGACTGGCTCGCATCGATATCGACAGGGATGGCGCTTCCTGCCGCTCCAACCAACACACAGAAGAGCTTTACCATCCTTCCTTTTGTTTTCTAGCTGAGGAAATGAGCTTACACATCATTTTTACGGTTTTATTTGCAATGATGGCTTCCAAACTTTAACCTCAACTGAGTTGACATCTCTGTTCGAAAACCGGTTTCAAGTTGGCTCCAAAAAAGTATCGGTATCGATCGATAGTTCGGACCCGCTCTTCCTTTGTCAACAACGACTGAAGCTTCCGGACGACTCGCTCGCTTCGCGGACCTGGAAGCGAGACGACAAATAGGAGGAGTTAGTGTACATATGCGAGAGCTGTTGTTCGGTGGGTCGGCTACAAGTTAAGACGTCAGTGTTCAGTTGACACCACGTTGAAGGTTCGTATATCGTCGATAGTATCAACTTGATACTCATGCGATGCCATCTCAATTGCGATTAGATACAGGTTATTGGAACGCTAAGCGAGCGAGCGACATCATCGCCAGGACAACGAGACCACCTCTTCGTTCGATGGAACACCGACCCGGTCGTCACAGGACACGACCACCGAGTCGATCGGCGACAACGCGTCAGGCTTGGGGGTTCAAATCCCAACTTTTTGCTGTCCTTTGTGGCTAGACTCGAACTTCGAGAGGACAACTCGAGACGCGCTTCGACTTTTGATCCAGTGTGCCAAGTGTTGTCCTACCGTTGTAAAGTCAACCATGAAAACCATCATTAGCTTCCTGACCACCACGGTGATGTACAATAGGTACGCTGGACAGTGAACATCGTTGCCTACGCTGCTTGTAGACCATACGCTGCTTCGACGGCATATGACACCACAACGGTAGTCAGCATGTGGTACTTTGGTAAGGTGCCGGTCTCAATTTGAGGCCGACACAGGATGCCTGCCCGGTATTACCGCAGTAATTTGCCGGATAGGAGTTGATCAACGAACTCCTTTGCCGCTTTTTGGTGTTAGGGCGACTTGATTTTGCCACTTTATCGGCCTATGTTGACGAAGCGCTAATCGTTCGGAATGCAAGCTCGTGATGAGACCGAACAGTGCACCGAACTCCATCCCCCACAATAGAAGTTCCGCCCCAGCCCGTGCACTGCGATCGCTCGGAGTTTGCATGCGGCTTTGCCATTGCCGTTGCCAATATTTGTCTGTGGAATTGGTCGAGTCAAACGCGCTGTTTCTTGCCGGCAGCTGGCTCGGCCGATCGCCTTGGTGGATCACCGGCGTACAAAATCGAGTCGAGCGTAGAACGAATTGTGCATGGCATCGACCAGCCGTTGGTCCCCTACGTCTGACTCCCTGCCCGAAAGGCACAGTGCTGCATTTGCATTTCCGCCGCCACAGTTCGCGGCGCGAAGTGATCGACATTCTCTACATACTGGTCGGACGGCCAGTCCCCTACGTCTACTATACACCAGGTGACGGCGCAGCACTTTTCGATTAGCTAGAACACAGAGTAAACAGGTTGCAGCTTCAAGCTCCGAAGGCAGGACGATGCAGGTCCACCGACGGTGGCTCAAGCTGGCGCTGCTTGCGGTGGTGGTCATAAGTGCCGACGCACAGGTGTACACGATGCAGAGTTTGGATAGGGATACCGATTCGACTTCGGATTCGAATACGGATTCCGATAATGTGCGCACCCCGACACCGACTGCTCGGAGACCGACCCGAACGTGGATTCCTATTACGAACGCTCCATCGGATTCGTCCGATACAGAGGAAACACCAGAGACCCCGAGACGGACTCCGACGCCGACGACGAAAACGCCACGACCTACGACTAAAACCCCGCGAGCACAGGCACCAGCCGTTGACAGTGAGACGGCGTCCAGGTACGAAGCGACTTTAGACTCGGAAGATGCTTCGGACTCTGGCGCAACCGAGGAGTCTCCCGTAGTGGACTCTACTGAGGAATCGGGATCGGAGGAAGGGACCGACAGCTCGGGCTCGAATACAAAGAAGAAGAAAAAGAAAACCGTCTTCACCAAGTCGCCGTACCTTGAGCAGACGACGCCCGTGCCCAACGGCATTCACACGGCCAACGATGATTCCGGTTCGGACGAGTCGGCATCGGGACCGACCTCGGACGATACCAAATCGGACGATTCGGGATCGTCGTCCAAGACGACTAAGCCGAAGACCACCAAACCGAAGACAAAGAAGAAAACTTCGGATTCGGCATCGGGATCGGATTCCGAATCGAGCAACTCGAAATCGACCAAGAAGGACTCGAACTCGGCCAAACAGGACTCGACAACTTCGGACGATACCGATTCTACACAGAACTCGGACACTACGCCATCACCGGATTCTTCAACGACTTCAGCGTCCCAGTCGGGTTCCGCGTCATCTTCCGGAGCTTCCGTGATGACCGACTCGGCATCGGCCGACAAGACCGGCATGTCGAACACTCTAATGCTTGGACTAATGATGGGCGGTGCTGTCGCACTGGTAATACTCGTCGCCGTGTTCGTCTACATCAAGACCAATAGCAACGAGGAGGACGAGGAGGATGACATGGACCCTGTGCTCCGTACGGCACGGCACGACGGCACGAAGGGGACGGCACAGTCATCAACGGTGAATGCGAACTACCACGACAACCACAACATGTCGCCTATGGAGTACAGCGACGGCTACTACGGTAACCAGCACAACGCTCAGTACGACCAGGAGCCGTACGGACACCACGGCCAACCCAGTGGCGGTAGAATCACCTACAACGATCCGAACCTCGACATGCTGACGCCGCGGAGTCAGATCGCTCTCGCGCACTCACAGATGTCGTTGCCGCCTATGGCCCAGACCGGCCACTCTAATGGTAGCAGCCAGTACTCGGACTCTCAGTACTCTTCGTTCTACGCTCAGAGTGCCTACAGTACCGACCAGTCGGTGAGTCAGGTCGTGGGCAAGTACCCGGGTATGCGTCAAGGCAAGGGGGAGAACGACGTCGCCGGCTCCTCGGAAGAAGAGAGCGACTTCGAAGGCGATTCGGTCCAGGATATGTCCCAAGCGACCAACGTGTGGAACACGGCCGGTCGGAACCGCGCCGGAACGGCAGCCAGCGGCATGGACCGGTCCATGGCCGCGTCAAGATTCGCACCGAGTGACACTCGCTCCACGGCTGCGAGTGACTACAACGGGAAGAACCGCTTCCAGGAATCCGAATACACGGAATACCGCATGTCGACAGGTTACGAGAGCAGCTACGCCGGCGGCAATAGCGGCTACGACAAGAGCTTTGCCGCTACTAAGAGTGGGTACGAGAAAAGTTACGCTTCCGACCAGAGCGGGTACGACAGTAGGTTCGCGGGTGGTAAAAGCTTCCAGAGCAGCGGATTCAGTGAGTACGAGAGGGCTGTAGCTCCTTCGCGCAACCGTGGCGACAGTACAAACAGTGACGCGTCCCGATTCACGGACGCCTCGTACTATTGAGCGAAATCTGTCGTCAACCAAGTAGTCCTAAGTCGAAAGTACCAATCAAGCAGTCCAAGTCCAGTTAGTTGAGTGGTGATGCGAGAGGTGCATCATTTCCGCAACTAGCCAGCGAGTTCAAAAGTGGAGGGATGGAGCGATTGAGAATGGTGGACGAAACCTGCAAAGCTCAACAAGCTTTTTGCCCTTCGGAGTAAGTAGCGTCGGAATGAATGGAAACTAATTTATGAGTTCGCTGCATCACTGAGAAAGCCTGCCGTATGATACATGTAGCCATGTCGGTGTGCGGTGCCAAACAGACGAGTAGTTTTAGGAGTCCACCGTGGCTACATTTGTATTTTTCGGATCCTGTATAATTTTATATGACAGGATTTACGGAATTCAGTCGTAATAGACAGACACAGAAAGAACTTGTGCCGATCAAGCATTCTTCATTACGAACGCAGAGACAAACACGTATTGGCATCTCTGGTACATCTGGCATACTGAGTCAGTAATTGCTGACATGTGAGTAGGCAAATTAGTCTCACAATTGCAAGGATTTTTTTGTCTTAAAGTCATATAGTCTGAAAGGATTGTGGCGATGATTCACGCGTCGCCATCGCGTGACGACACTTCCGACCTTTGACCTAATGGCATTGAGAAATTTACCACGGCTTGCGGCAAGCTCCATTTATTAAGCGATGAGTGCAGACTGCTGCTTTGGAACCCTGGAGACTTCAACTTGTTGTGGCTTGTTTTGTTCCGTGTTTCTGCCGCTATCTTGCAACATACTGGAAACAAGTCACAGCTCACTGTCAAACCCCATATATTGAAGTGGTGCACACCAGCTGATACCATCCTTTTTCCCGAGCGGCGGCAGAGACTTCGCCATCGCCCCCTGCCGGACTCGCATCTCCCTATTGCCACTAGCACGCCTGGAGTGGCGCATACGTCGCGTTCGGCCACTCAAACCAGTTCCCTGCCGCGAGAATCGGCTTAGCACAAGGAGAAGAACCCCGAAGTCGGCCACAGGAGATCTCTAACACCGAGAGAAGCGCAGACAGACTAGGCACCATGGCGGACGGGCAGGACGTGCAAACGCTTAAGATGAAAGGCAAGTGGCAAGTGGCAAAAGAGAAAAAAAAAGCATTCTCTAACCTTATCGTATCCTTCGCAGTGGCGAGGAAACATGACAACGAATTAGATCGCCGACGCTCGTCCACTTTGCGGTTGGAGCCGCCTCGTACGTGGCAAAAAGTGGAATTTCTACTGACAAATTGGCAATTTGCCACTGACACCTTGACAATCTTGTGTTAACGCAGAATCCGACTCGCGCAAGGCCACGTCCTTCGTGCGCGCGCGCACCTCGGGCGTGAACCGCCTTCTCCGCTCCAACCCGAGCAGCGTGGGCAGCTATTCCACGGCCCTGAACGGCCACAGCAGCAACGGCAGCCGGAGCAGCACCAGGAGCCGTGGCAAAAGCAAAAGCGCGCCGAGCAGCAAATCGAAAAGCAAAAGCGAAAACTTCGAGACGGCACACTCAGAGCCGGTGGATGAAAACGCCGTGCAACCACCTCCGTCACCCACCAAATCAATCTCGTCGTCCACTTCGTCCCCTCCTGTGAGTGCAGAAGTGGATGAGGACGGATTCCCTCCGTACATGGAACAAAAGTGGACGCACGTGGTGCTGAAAATGACGGCTTTTTCCGAAGAGGACGCGGTCACAAGTTTCCGCTTCGACACGAATGGCGGCGGCATTGGCCGGAGTGCTGACAATGCAGCAAGTATCCCTGCAGACAAGCTTCTTGCCGCCAAAGACCACGCCCGCGTGTTGTACAGTGGCGGACGCTTTTACCTGGCCAATGGGGACAACGCCAGCGACACGTTCGTCCGCTTGAGCCCCGTTGGCAATGGGGACGAAGACGACACTGAGGACCGAATGCAATGGCCTTTAGAGCCCCATGTTTCATTCCGTGTGGGCAAATCGGATTTCATGGTCACAGTGTTCCACGAGCCGTCGCAGACACTGGAAGTGTCGGCGCTTAGTGGCAAATTGGCCGGCACGCAGTTTACTATTGGCCGCGAAGGCGCCGGCATTGGCCGCTCGGCGGACAACAAGATCCACACTGGGGACGGCGAGCTGTCGCGTAAACACGCGGCAATTTGGTTCGATGAACTGACGAACCAGTTTTACCTGGTGGACCTCAACTCGACCAATGGCACGTTCATGAAGCTCGTAGGCAGCTACCAGGAGCCGTATCGCCTGGAAATTGGCGACGATCTACTTGTGGCACAGACGTGCTTGACGGTTAACCGTTTCGACTTTGGCGCTCATGCTGATATGGGCGCGCGGAAACACATGGAGGACGCCCACACGATCATCCAGGACCTTTGCATCGAGTCTCTGAGTCGCTTGGGGCTGCACCCGCAATCGTATTTTGCTGTCTACGATGGCCACGGCGGCGAGGAAGCGTCGTCGTTTCTGGGCGACGTGTTGCACCACAACATTATCGAGTCGTTTTTTATGAAAAAAACCGAACTCAAGCCACTACTCAACAAGTCGGCCGAGGAGCTGCAGTCTATGATCACTAAGCGACTCACGGAGGCCTTTGAGCGCACGGACGAGGAGTTTTTGAACGAATCCGAAAGACCGCAAGCCGGCAGTACTGCCACGACGGTATTTGTGGCTGGCAAGCACATGTTCGTGTCCAATGTGGGTGATTCACGTACTGTTTTAAGTCGCAATGGCAAGGCCGAGCGGCTCTCGAATGACCACAAACCCAGTCGCTCGGACGAAGCGCAACGTATTCGTGACACGGGCGGCTTTGTGATCCACGGCCGCATTATGGGCGAGCTGGCCGTGTCTCGGGCCTTTGGTGACGCGCCGTTTAAAACTTTTGACCTTCCCGAACCACCACTTGAAAATGTCGACTCGAAGCCTCGCAGTGATTACGACTCGCAGGAGTTGCCGGTGAACCCGAATGATATTCTCAAAGGGCCCTTGGTGATCCCTACGCCGGAAATTACGATTACGGAGCTGACGGACGACTGCGAGTTCGTCATGCTGGCAAGTGACGGACTGTACGATGTGCTCAAAGACCAAGAAGCGGTTGACTTTATGCGGCAGAAGATCGTACAGCTTGGAGATGTCCAACGTGCTGTGGAGGTAAGTAATTTATTTTGTCCAGTATGTGATGACGTAACTAATATTTGTATTTTGTTTTTTTTGTTTAGGCTATCATTGAATACGCGATCTTCCATCAGCGCTCGACGGATAATGTGACGTGTGTCGTGGTCATGTTCAAAGAGTCCAAGGATCTTAAGTGAAGAAAAAAAAGTTTGAGGACTGCGGACATAGATGAATAGTATAGGAAGTAGCGAAGACGTTTTGAGAAAGGGAAGGCAAGTAGCCCAAACCGTGGATGATGAAACACCAAAACAATAAACTGAACAGCTTGATGGATGTTAGATACTGAAGTACTGCCAAAATATGCAAATAATAAAAAAAAAGTTAGTCGGTGAGTTACTCAAGGCTTAACTTGGCAGGTGAAGTGCGGTTCTGGCGAAGTGGAGAGCCCGATCCTTTCGCTGTAGACGGGAAATGCTCGGAAGCCGAGCGTATGGGAGCAACTGGAGCTGAAGCGGCTGCTACAAACGCCTTAATGTGGCGGCACCGACGCATAGTTTTCTGCTTGGAGCGACTCTCAAGTGCCGAGACGTGAGACCCATCGTCGAAGTCAAAGTGAACTTTGTACGTGCGAGTGTCGACGTCGCCACTGTATTCTCCAGCAGTTTCGACGCGAATGTTGGTGATGTGACGCATATCGCGCTCCACTGAGCGAATGTAGCGTTTACTCAAACACAGCGGCTTATTGGAGCGAACGCAGAGACGAGAGGACTCTTTGTTCATGTAGAAAGTCTCTACTCGGCCATTCGCGATGAGAGCGAAGCCCAAAATGTAGATGGCGACTGCAACGAGATATTTCCACCAAGTTGCATCACGATGCTCGTCATCCTCGTCGTCTCTCTGGCTGTGTACGCTGTGCACGAAAACTGAAGCTCCGAGCATGATCAACACGCCAAAAATCCATATTGGAAACGGATAACTCACGACTTGCAGCTGTTAGAAAAAGAGTGAGTAAGTTGAAATAACTGTTTGTTTTTTCAGACTCTACCTCTTGGCCGAAGGTGCTGTTGGTACCGAAGAGATTGTCGAATTCGACCTCCTCGTCATCATACGCTTGAGTCTTAGCGTTCCAGCGGACACTTCTGCGCCCTAGTCGCTTGGATTTCTTCTTCATTGCAGCCCGCCAACGCTCCAACTGCTTGAATGCCAGACGCTTCTCCTTGGTCATGGGCTGCTCTTCCTCTCGACGAGGGTCTCGAGGCATTTCTTCCTCCGCTTCGGTCGCGCTGATCACTTCGATGTCATTGCTGTCGTCGATGTCGCTTACTGAAATGGAGCGGAACTGCTCCACGTCTTCCTGCTCTAGCGACGTGGTCACCATGGGACCTCGAAGTTTCGTCGGAGACAAAGGCATCGCGGTCGACTGTGCACCCAAGAACTGACAAGTATGATCTTCAAGACCGCTCAACCGCCCTGCCGAGTGGTAAATTTGGACACTCACACTCTAGTGAACCTCTGTTAAGGCATTCGTGCTATTGTTAGTAGCGTCGTAAGTTGGGGATTAGAGCTATTCAATTATGTTTTTGGCATTTTAACGAGATCGAGGATCATTTTTTTTATTGTTGCTTATCGTTGAAGCGCAGTTCAACATCGATAAATGTTTGATATATTGAGCAAATTGGCTGACGAAAACTACTGTTGGCTTACGTAATGACGCTCAGGATACCGATCAACCATCGTCTAATTATTGCAAAACCACTCAGGAGCTGCTTTATATTATGGCTATCATCGAGGTTCATGTCAAGTGCTACTTGCTCACTACATACATCAGCAAACACTGCTTAGGCCCGAAGGCCTACACATTTAAGTCGAATAGCTGCCAGAAGAGCTAAAACATGATTTGCAAAGCAAACATGTTCAATTCAACATCCCTTTCTTAAATAGAATAAATATATTAATAATTGTTATAATAGTAGCTTTGTTAAATCTCAAATTAAAATCACGCCAATAGCTTCTAAAGTTTCTTTACGAGCCAATTTGCATTTGTGAGTAGAACAATGGGCACCGCCACTACCGGAGCGTCGTGTAGCAACGTTTTATCAACACAAATGGTTATTGGCACTCGATAGCACCACTGCATTATTGCGAAAACCTAAGCCAGTTGCTTGCACAGACATCGCTGCAGAGAGGACACCAGCACCCCTGGGTTGAAAGAAGAATTCCGTTGAGAAGCTTACGCACATCCACGTTGGGGTCTCTTGGCTCATGTGGTGCGGTAAACCGTAAAAATGCGCCTTCACCATTCTAGGATATCAATAGTATACGAAGGTCTCTGGTTATCAACTCCAGTGTCGGAAGCGAGGGAAGAATCTGTAGTTACTGCATCAACTTGGATCGGGAAATGGTGTATACATGTCTAAGTATAGCAAGTTGATCATGTCAAGGCGCTAATGTGGTGCACATTCATAAAATTTAGTGGGACTCGAACGAAAATACTTCGTATCTTTAAGTTTATGGAAATATTTACGGCACATCATACTTTTCAGACGTCTCTATCGTGACTCTCAGAGGCTGGTTTCCGACTATAACAGTTCAGAATAGACGGATGCGTGATTTCATGTCGAATATATGCCACTAACTCGCTAAAAAAAACGATGGACCTCATTTCCCTGTTTTATTCCATCATCATGTTATTATTGTACTCGACATTGGCTATTGGACCAGAAAATAGGCTCTCCTATTTATGCCTCACACTCCACGAGCGATCCAAAACGGCGTCTAGAAACTATTAAGAAACAGTTAAGAAACTCCAGTTTGATGGCACCGGCGTGCTAGCTGCCACAAGGCTCCTGCACGTTGACGAGTTTGCGTTGGGCGTCATCCTGCTGGGCACTGCGTTATCTCAGTTCCCCTGCATTTACTGCACCCACTTCAAATCCCTTTTGACCGGGGTGCTATTTACTCGTGGGTCGCCTCATTAAATGAGGACATCAGTGAATATCAATAAGTAGAGCACGACTCATTTAAAATTCGATTGGTATTATTATTATTTTTTGTAGAAACGGTTCAGTACTTGATGAGCTAGACCATTTTTTCTGATGTGTTCCAGAATCTTGGTCCAATCACTTTGTCAAGCCCAATAATAGGCAGTACTTCGAAGTATTATCAAGAATCTTTTCAAAAAGGAAATACACGAATCTGGCGAAATCAAATCCTACCACGTACCTGTACGAATCGTAATTCTCTGAGAACCACTATTATGTACTAGTGAAGCACAGCTATTAATACAGTAGGGGTACAGTATGCTTGTATTGTAAGTACTTGTATTTACATGTATAACATGTACAACAGTATTGTAAGTACTTGCACAACAGTATTGACTTATGTGCAGTGAATCCCGAACATGCGTTCGCGCCAGACAGTACATGTTACTGCTTTCAAATCATGTCAAATCGTGTCGCGGATTCTGGAACGCTGGTGGTGTCGGCGGCACTGCAGCGGGGGTTCTGTTCCTCGCGCTGCGCCGAGTGCACACCCACTGGGCAGCGAGTGGAGAGTGCTGCAGTAAAAGTTGCAGGCAACTTTAACACGCTCACATGTATTAAATACACATCACAGATGTCGTTTGTTGAGGTTATGCGCCGACTCTGATTGGTAGAGACAAAATAACATACTGTATTCTATGGAAAGTGCAATTGTGCACCGTTCCGATTTGCAACCTGAAGAGAAAAATGAGACAAGTCAGTATACGGTTGTACAGGTGTTTCTCCTTCGAGCACAACGCAAACAACTAATGTACGAGAACATCAACTGATTTCTACAGGATTTTGTTCAACAAATATTAAACAAATATATTGTTATTATCAGATAAGTGAAGTTGACAGCAAACTACCGGAAACTCAGTCCTTTTGCTGGCGTTGTACGCGGTCAAAATCAATAAAACAACGATGAACCAGATGTGAATTCACTAGTCACTAGACAACAACCCCCAGGGGTTAATTAAGGTCAATAGCTTAATTAAAATTAATACAAGGTCCGGAGTCTGGACTCCGGACCTTACATTGTGACCAAAACAGCCAGGGTTCTAATAGTGCCCGGACTTACATACCGGTATAGTTAAGCTTGATGTGAACATCAAAGTGAGACTAGGGTAGTTCAGTCTTTTGTTTGATCTGCTTTCACACATACCGACAATGCATTGTACGACTCCAGTGAAGTCGTCAATCATTGTGTCGCATCGTGATGTGCAAATCAACAGCATGGTGATATCGCGAATGAAAAGTATACATTTATAGAGGTGCATCTTTTGCAGATAAAGCCAATCAGGCTTGATGTTGGCATCCTCATATTAGATGTTAAAGGAAATTGATATGTAACTGTTTAATATCAAATGCATAAAGTTCTATCTCAAAGTCGGTCTTCTTACTCGCGTTGTACACTGCAATTACGCGTGTACCGTTGCCGTTGAACAGCCAAGGCACTCAGCAACAAGTTCTCTCGTGCGCTTTCCGCTAAATAGCCCCTGTTCTTTCTGTAGGACGAAAAAGGTGTAGCTCATCACCATCATTTTCTTTCAGCACTAGTGTACGCATGTAGCTCGACTTGCATTTTTGCAAAATGAACGCAAGATAAGGACAAACGAGATGTTGTAGTTGATCAAGGAAACTCCGGGCCATCCATTGCTGGTTCTAATGTTTGTACACGATTAGAATTCGCTGCAAAATAACATTAAAACTGGCCGGTTAAAATAACCGGTATCATGAATTATGCGGAGTACAATAACTACAGTATGATCATCATAGTTAGTTCCGTTTTAAGTTTAGAAAGCATCATAGTCTGATGTGAAGTATACAGTTTGGAATCCACCCTATGGTTGCAGTAAAAAAAGCCACTTTAGTGCTTCTTGATTGCGCACATTTGCTAGCACTGTGCTTTGTATTAATACTACTTGGGCACATTAATACAGGCTAGCCGCTAGCCAAGTGCGTTACCTTGAAGCATCTACTCCAAACGCTAAAAGGCAATAATATGAAGATCTGTTGTTACTTCCCGATGATAGCGCTCCCAGTTCTTCCTAAACCTCTATCGCAACGTATCATAATTGGGGGGTTATCCACACTCTCTGTACATATGTCATTGTTTTTCCTGTGAACGAGAAATTTGGGCCGAATACTAGTACAGTAATTTGCCTCAATAGCGAGCTCTGGTCCGTTATATATTTTCACGTAAATTATGTGACAGAGGTGTGGTTACTACGAAAGCATAAGCATTCACAGGGATGTGCACACTTTGTATTAAGGGTTATAAAATGATATGACCACGCGTCATTATGAACACATTGTTCTGTTTACGGCATGCATATGGCGTAGAAGAAAAACATTTCTGATCCGTTCGTTTTGTCTTCAGTGGAGACTCTTCCCCGCAAGTACTCGTAGTCTTCATTTCCCCCGACACTTATCAAGTGCAATGCAGTTTCGCTACGTTTTGCTGTTGGTCGGTGCCGCTTTCTTTGCAGGTGGAAACGCTGCAATGGCGACGATGGATTCTCAGTTGAGTGTTGCTAAGGTCCGACGTATTCCTGCCAAGCGAGTGTTGCGAGCGCTCAACGAAGAACCTGATGACGGCGAGGAGAGAGGGCCTTTCACCAGTGTCAGTATCTCCCAGAGCCTCAGTAACTGGATAAACAAAGCTGGACCGAAGCTTCTACTGAATGACGACGAGATTTTGGTGCTGGCAAGTAAGGCGGAGCACACACCGATCAAAGTCTTAAAAACGCTGGAGCTTGACACCAGACTGCATGGGATCCTCAGGAATCCCAACCTAAAGTCATTTTCTCGCTATCTCGAATTAAGGGGAGAAGATCCGACGAAGGCGTTGGTTGCGACGTTGATCAAGCAATATGGAGACACTGAAGTTGCGAAATATCTCTTTGACGTGAAGCACAATTCGAAAATCGCGGACGAGAGTATCAAAAAGCATGCGGACATTTTGCTAGGCGCACAGTACGCCAAGTGGGCCGATGATGGGGTGACACCAAGAACGGTAGGCGTTAATTTCGACCACTATCCTGAAACATGGGGCAAGAACCCGTACGAAAAGGTGTGGTGGGAATACCTTGACGTGTGGGCTGAACGCGAGAGTAAAAAGGTAACCAAACGAAATAAGACCAGGAAATGATGCGTTAATACATGCAACAATGGGCTAGCCACTTCTACGATCATTTCTGTGCAAGTTCATGAGTTCATGTCCAACACAACCACAACAACTGCCTCGGTATAATGACGTCATTTTCGGGCTGAACAACGCCATGCATTGGGTCAGTTATCTGGTGTACAGTTGGCTCGGAACTGTTGTCTTCGTCTTCAAACTCGGAAGTGGCTTCACGTACTTATGATAAGCAGCTGAAGTTATTGAACTCGTTCGAATCGGTCTGCTTGCACGAATTGTGATTGCCAGCTGAGACTCGCGTGAGGTCTCGGTCTTGCTGTTTACTCGCCATTTCGCAGTGAGTGTGCGTCAGTTAGACTGGTACTATTCCCGTCAACGTCGAGATTGAGTCAGCCACGGCGGAGATGTAGAATTCGGGACTTAATTTTGACAAGGGTAGTTTTGTATTTTGAATCGGACACTGAAAAAAATAAGTAACCAATCGGATACTTTTGATTCTTTATTTGTCACTTATGGCTACGTTTGCAATATTTGATATATATTTTGTAATTCTAGAGATATCCATGTACCCCTCACGACGTGGTGTAACCTAGGATACGAAGTATTCAGTCATACTGCTTATTAATACTCAAACTAGCTACTAAGGTTTTTTGAGTCCGCGCGATGGTGACAGCTTCGTGTGAAGAAGACCACCACGAGCAGCGCTCGCGAATTACGAGCGAAGGCGAAGCCGTAGCAGGCCACGACATGACCATCCTGCTGGCGTTTAAGATCCGTGTGCGTAGCACGCGGTGTTAAACCCAGTTGTACAAGTGGACAAGCGAAGGCGAAGCCGGAGCGGGCTTAGGGTTTTGTCGAAGCGAGCCCAGAGTAGCCATGCACAACTAACAGCTTTAGAATGATTTTACTGACGGTTTTTTTTGTTTTGGATCGGCCACTTTTGCAGGTTCAGCAAGTTACTAGTAACCAGGAGGTTGCCAACCCCAACATTCAGAACTAGCCGATTGAAAACGAATATACTACCCTCTTTTTCGAACTATGTTGGTCACTTTTGCCGGTTGAGCAGGTTACTAGTAACCAGGGTAACCAACTCATAAGTATCCGATCGAGCATATAATTTCGCTAGTATCCGATTCAAAATACAAAAGTACCCGATTCAAAATTTTCACCCGTAGAATTCAGCAGGTAACTTGTTACTGATCTCGACTGTACGCTCGAGCAGGACGCGATCAGCACCAAGCGCACAGTTGCGGCAACCAGCTACGCCTCTCGCTGTCCAATGCTTCCAGTGTGTAAGTCTAGGGTGACAGGTCGCAGTCGATAACAGATATAGATTCTAACTCATGCCTTTGCGATGCATGTAGCTGGGACGCTATGGGCTGTGTTAGCAGAAGTGGGTTGCGGGTTTTTAAATTGGATTTTTTTTGGGTTATCCACCCACCCAAAGCAAGTTGAAGGGTTTTCACTGACTGTATTGAAGGCCCTTAAACTTAGGGAGAGAACGGGCAACTTGCGAACCATCGAGTCCTTAAGTACATGCACTAAATTGTAAGTTTGTAAGCCTCTGGTGGTGTTAAACTTCAAAACCACAAGAGTTCAGACCTCCTGTGTCGCAACGACCAAAGCAAGCAACAAGAAATAATAATAAATAGCGGCAGTAAAGAAGATAATAATGCCTCTCTCGTCGTTTTCTTGCTAAGCTTACCAGAGAAGCTTATAGCACAACTTCTTTAAGGCGGTGCCAGGAATATTGAAACATTTTACTGAGAGACGTTAACATTGTTTCCTTACCTTGGTAAAGACTGTGAGGGCGAGATAAAAAAAAATGGCATGCTATTTATTATTAACCAATCAGAAGGAGTTAAATTGAGTATTTAGCTGAAATGGAGTAGCTACCCAATTTGATCAACCCAAAGATATAACCCATCCAAGAAACCTCCAACACATGGATTCTTGTCAAAGCTGCCCAGGCACCTGCACTGACACGCAAATTTTTCCAAAATGAATCTTGAGAAACCTGATACTCAGTCGTACATGATACTACTCCGTTTCATGGATCACTGAAGGGAGTAGTCGGTGACTGTGTTGCTCATTTGACGGGCAAGAAGCTTGTTCTTGTTAACGAAGTAGCCCAGAAGAAGACCGACCACAGCTCAATGATTGAGCAGGGGTATGCAAATATTGATTGGAGTTGTTGGATTGTCAAGATTGTCAATCACAATAATTGATTGTGTCCAGATCGGCAATCACAATCTTAGATTTCCCCTGGGTCCTATAGCCTATTTGCGCTTCTAGAACCAATCACGGTAGAAAAGCATTCCGTCAACCAAACGTTTGAAACCGAGCCGACGAGCGAATACCCACTTGTTTTTGCGCTATTTTAGTCGGCAGACTTGTCGTAAGAGGGAGATCGAGCCAGCTAAGCGTGTTCATTATCCAATTTTCCACATACTTGCCAAGTCAGCGGTCAGCAGCACACCATGAAGAACGCCGAGATCGTCAAGCAAAAGAAGGAGGCCGGCTACAAGAACCTGATCACGCACCTGAGAAGTCATCACGATGGGTTTGAATTCGACGCTGAGGAATGCATGAAAAAGAACTGCCAGCCAATTAGCACGATGCTTGTCCACAAGGACGCTGCCGACACGTACGGATGGGTAAAGCTGATTGCTTTGAAGAATTTTCCCTTTTCACACGTGGAGGACCCCATCATTCGCTCATCTGTTCGCTACAAGTCGATGGCACGGATGACTGTGTTGAAGAAAATGACGGCACTAGTAGAGGTCTTATACCTCAAAATTGCCAGCGAGCTTTATAGGGAAAAAATTGCTCTGGTTTTTGATGGATTCACGGATTCTGTAGAACATGCCATTGCAATTTTTTTCCGCCACAAGAAAGGGCCTTCGATTTCTGGCATTTTCGCCTTTTCAAGACGAAAGTTCAATGACTGCCGCTGAGCATTTGATTTTTTTTGGATATGGTGCTATTTCAGTACGGTTCATGAGATGATGAAATTGATGCGAAAACTGTCTCAAGATTGAGCCATACTATTTGTTTGCTTGCTACCCCAATTTTAGTGTTTGTAAGCCAAGATAAAATTCATTCCAGTCTAATTACACTTTTTGCTTATGCAGTGCCGATTATGTAGTGCCGTGTTGAGGCGGCCAATTATTCTGGCGAGGCCGATTATGCAGTACCGCATGTTAACGCGGTTTGATCTCGCAGTATCATCCTCGAGGGTAAAAAACTATGGATCTTTTGGGGTTAGGGTGCTCGACCTCCAGAGACACTGCGCAGAAGACACAAAATTAAAATGGGTCACAATGTTGGACCAAATTACCAAAAGTTTTTTTTTTAGTAAACTTGTAAATAAAAACGCAATCCCAAATATCATTTTAAAAAAATAGATTGCACTGTGTCTCTGGCCTCGCCAGAATAATTGGCCGCCTCAACACGGCACTACATAATCGGCACTGCATAAGCAAGCGGAGGACGCTGCCACAGGGCGCGCTCTCTAATGGTGAAGAACTAGAGCGGTAAAACCACTGCGTAATAGAACTCACTTCGCAACTTACTTTCAAGCACTCAATACACCATAATTCGCCAGTCTGAAGCTGTGCGACCTATTTGCCAGCTTCATAATCGTTTTAACCCTAGCATGTCTTAGTAACTAGCTGCTGAAGTAACGCCTCGGGTTTTAAAATGGATACGCATTTTCAGTCTAGCAACGCAACTTACGTAAGCCATGTCTACCTCCCTAGTGGAATCTGATTATATCAGGCATAATTGGTTTTACAGGATAACACCATAGAAATCGAAGAGAAGGCTGTTTAACTTCATCGTGTTGCGAGAAGTCTCAATATCTGCCAACGAGTTGTTTTAACAGCGTTTTCTCGTGTATTTCCGTTGCTAACTCAAAGATCCCAGTCTTAAAACCTTATTTTTAGTGTTTTCAATTTTATTTCTGTATTTTCATAAAAAAACTGAAATAAAGTGGCCTGGTCATCGTGTCCGATCCTCTACGTACCAAAAAAAAAAAACGAAGTCGCGTTTAGCGCGAAGAAGCTCTGAAATTTGAACAGCAATGATATTTTAAAGAAGATACTGTTCTTTCGATAAAATGCATTTAAACTGGAGCGCTTCAGGTGCAATTGTCGCTTGTCACTCCGAAATACCACGGTACTACCATTTTCTGGTGTACTATAGAAAAAATATATTCCAATAGCACTTAGCGGGCCGACTTCTTGCCGTAAGCCGGTTGTCTAGAAGGGTATAGTGATTATTAGTTTTGTTGCCGAACACCAAAACGATGCAGGTACGCTTCAATTAAAGTGGTTGTAAAACGATCGAAAGTTTCTAGTTCTTACCTCGACGTACTGTAGTACAAAGTCCTCATGCTTTGTCACGTTGAGGAGTAGCATAAACCCATGTTTGTCATAAATAAGCTCCGATAAATAACAAATTGTATTCACCATAAATGAGTTAAAACAACATCCTTTGTCAACGCATCTCCTACACCTGCTTCCCAGCGGCAGCACCTGCCCGTGTACTTGGTGTAGCAGCGGATGAAAGGGACAGAAGTATCCACACTTCCTGCGTCTGATCCGCAGAGCCATTGCACGCCGCTATTGTAGGCTATACGACCACCGAATCATGCTTTCTGTTCTTATGTTGGCCTTGTTGCCTCGTGTCACAGCCCTTAAGGAACCACTCACGAACTACTTATTGTATCTCGAACAGTTTTTCTACTTACATGGAATGCTCATTTCGTAGTACTGAAACCCACGATATTGTTTTGCTTCTTTCGCGCTACATTCACGCTTACCATTGTGTAATATATTACCGTACTTAGCTGATGTGGACTGTTCGAACTACATGCATGAAATTTATAAGATTATTGGGGTTTCGTTTTGCTGAACATTATCTATTGTGTATCACTTGAAGTTTGTATTAAACCTTGTTTGTTTTGATCGTTATCAGACCGAATAATTCATGGAAAATCATACCCCTTCCTTAACATCAACTTTCAGAGAACATGTATTATAACACATGTATATGAACGTTTTTATCAGGAGTATGAAAAATCCACAGCATTCACATGTCACGGAATCATGGTGAGGACTTGTACTTCACGATGGAAATTGTAGAGTGAATTGAAAATTAAAACTAACTGCAGGCCTACGAACTGGACACGCTCTTGTGTCCAACGCATTGCCCGAAAACAACGGTCAGGTCAGCGTCCAGTAATCCTTAATAAAAGAGAGGGACTTTATCAGGTCTAGAATCGTAAACGGAGGTAACTCCGTTACACTCTTTGCGTTCGAGTAGCTGTTGCAGCGAGGAGTAGAAGGTCATTTCGGCTTTTACCTCTCGTGAACTCGAGCTCTTATTCTTGAAGCGATGCGTTGGCTCATTTGGACCGTACTCTCCACCTTGTTCATGCTTTCCGCAGCTGCTGAAATGGTCTCATCCGAGCCCAACTTCGAAATTGCGACGAAGGATTCAAGGTTCGCTACCAGTTTTCCAGTCCGTGAGCTGTCAACTGCGCACAACGGCAAAGAGAAAAGCAGTCTGCGGGGCAACAGCAATCATGTACCTACTGAAGATCTCAAGAGCACAGACGAAGAGCGAGGGATTTTTGACTTCATTTTGAACAAAATCGTCAACCGCATGTTCAGGCGAGCGTACAATAAGGGAGTGACTCCGTGGAGCCTCCGTGCCAAGGCTATGGGACGTGACACCGTCCTCATTGGCGACTACAAAGTTTGGTGGGAGACTGTTCGGAAGACAGGAAAAATGCCAAAATGGAAGTACAGTGGGCCCAACTGGAACCATGTGTAAAGTAGAATCCACACACGTGCTACTAACGTTAAGCTCCAAAACAATAAATTCAGTCGCAATTGCGGATTTGCCGGAAAACGTCGCAGTACGAAACATAAAATAGCATCTGGAGAATATATTTTTTCTCGCTGCTGGGGTCGCGCAACACAATAACAAAATATTAGTGCAATGCAGGAAATGCATACCTGTGTATTCATCCTTTTGATGCAATAACTGAGCAGAGCCACCAAGCAGGCCAGCCAGCGAAGTGAGGCTGACCCTACTCAAGTTCGATCTAGACTTTCGAAAATAATAGGACGATAAATCCTATATAGTTTGACCGTCGCTACCATTGGTACGGGGTCAACGTCATGTTTAGTGACCAAGAGTAAAAAAAAATAGGGAAATTCCGAAGCAACATTTCTCGCTTTCTCGCTATAAATAAGATATATACAGATGATCTTCTCTCTAGTACTTCGGGCAAAATCGTGCTTCGCCTGAAGAAGCTTTGAAAGTTAGCAAAACCCATCCACAATGGTTTTGAAGGCCGAGAACTTCCTCTGTCGGCACACTCTGCCGATTCGCTGCCGCAGCATTTGCTCTGGTAAACTGTAACAGTAACCCTTTGAGAGCACAACTCGATGGCATGGCAGCATAAAAACTTTTCAATTTGATTGTCGAACACAGGCAAGAAAATACCTTGCATATTTTATTGGATATCATTTGAGGCGGGAATTTATTCAGTGATTTTTTCGCGTGGCATCCAATACTAAAATAGGCGTCCTTACTGTACATGTTAACCGAGATGGCGACGATACAGGCGATAATCGCACAGTGCATTAATCAAGCACAGATACAGACTTCTCTTCCAAGAAGTCTCAACATCGCGTCTCGAATCAAGCAAATCTCGTTTACAGTATACCTTGGCCCAGGTTTAATAAATATATATAGCAAACCTGCGAACCTTCCATCATCATAGTTCCAAATCAAATAATACCGTTGACTGTACGCGCACAAACTATTGTTGAGACCAATATGGCGATCTCCAGGGAAAAAAATTATTGTGCTCCACTTGTTTTCAATTGATAAATGATCACACTCGAAAAAGGATACTGCAGTGTTTGTATTCCCAGATTTCACCAAATTCACACAATGTCTGTCTGAAGCCAATCGTGAAGGGTAGACACAAATACAGAAGGATATTAATATCCCGTGGAGAGCCTAAAAAAGAAGACGAAACGCGCTTGTACAGGCTCCGTGACGGATATGTACATACTGTGCAAGTCGTGAAATTTTCGAAATATGATACTTCACTCATGTAAGCCACACCATTTTACGTTTCCCTCTCCAAAACGATCTCCTCATATCACTTTTGCCAGCACGCTTTCACCGCCGCACACCATTCAAGCACTGCATCACCATGGCGTCTAACTCGATGCGCTTCCTTGAAGCTTTTACGCGCGCTGCCAAGCGTCAGCACGTGTCTGGACGTGCGCAGCGCGGACTCTTTGCCGGTCGCGACAAGGCGTTCGGCAACAACGTGTCATTCTCCAAGCGCCGCACGCGCCGCGCATGGAAGGTCAACCACCAGTGGAAGACGCTTTACTCAGAGGCGCTGGACGAGAAGGTGGGGCTTAACGTGACGACGCACACGCTGCGTTGTGTGGACAAGATCGGCGGACTGGACAACTACCTGCTGAGCATCAAGGACGAGCGAGAACTCGGCGTCAAGGGGCTCAAGACCCGCGACCGTGTGTTGGCTGCTCTGGCTGAAGCTTAAAAAGGAGAAGATAGAGAAGAGAAATGAGAAAGTGCTCCTTTGTACCCGTTGTTCTTCTTGTTTTAAATTACAAACAGCATTACGGACGCACTACAAGACATTTAGAATAGCTAGTTTCTAGATTTCGCCCTCGCTCAGTTCCGAACCTTTCGAGCGCCGGAACACTATCGAGTCCGAGTCCCGATCGTCTTCAGTGTCTTGTGTCGTCCGCGTGGCATAACTGTCCACGGTAGCGAAGCTGTCGTCGGTTCGGAAGCCGTCGTCGACGCTGAAGTCGGTGGAGAAGCTCTCGGTGCCTGTGAGTTCGGACGTGTAGCTCTCGTCCACGCTGAACTCGCTGAGTGCCTCGCTCATCCGACCATTGCTGGGGTAGCTGCTGTTAGGCTCGGACTTTTCCGAGGTAGTTGCCGGCAATGCTGACACGTCGATGAGCTGCGTACTGATACGGTAGATGTCGCCGTCGGCCGATTCCACGGACGAGTTGAACACGGAGAAGTCGCTACTGGACCGGTCCGACCGGTTCGTGTCCCTGACGTCTCCGATCGATGTGTTGGACGACGCACGTTTGGAATTCCGAGCGGTTGAAGACGCCACCGAGCCAAGTCGAGTCGGGAGCATTGGCGTTTGTATCGACCGCTGGCTGGACGAGACCGACGGCGCGATGCTGCCGAGCGATACCGAACTCGTGTCGGAGAACACCGAGTCGGACCGGTAAATGTTGGACGAATCAGAGCGATACAGGTTCGAGGAGCCTGTAGACACGACGGACGGCGCGTTGGTTCGGCCTATGAACGAGTCGTACTCGTCGCTGCGGCTGTCCGTCGGCGTCTCGATACTCGCGCTTGAGTCCGGTCGCGTCCTCCTGTTGAACACCGTCGCGGCTGTGCCGGCAACGATGTCCGTCGTCGTGGTACGAGGCCGCTCGTTCGGGTTGGACGGCATCGTAACGGCAATTTCGTCGCGCGGGGTGAGCGGGTCCGTGACGAAGTTGCCGGACGACACGCCCGTCTCGCGCGCCACGGTCACCCGGTTCTGCCGGAAGAACGAGTCCAGTGCGCGCTGCTGGGAGCTGCCTCGGTCACGCTTGTTCGCTGCTGCTACGCGGACGTGACGCATGTGCACGAAGAAGACGGAGGCCAGCACCGCACACACGGCTCCGACGATGACCAACGCGAGCTTCCAGCCGCCGAACGACTCGGATTGCCCAGAGGATGTCGAGGCGTTACTCGGGTCGGACTCGCTATTGTTCTTGCTCGTATCGGTGTCGGTGTTGGTGTCGGTGTCGGTGTTTGTGTCGCTGTCGCTGTCGTCCGGCGTGATCGGTGATAGTGTAAGACCGCCGGAGTTACCTACGCTGTCGCTGGGGGACGGATCGGCACCGCCGTCACCTGAAGACTGGGTCGCATCTGAAGACTGACTCGACGATGAGTCCACGGAATCGGAAGCGCCAGAATTTGAAGACACAGCGGGTTGGGGGGTAGCAGAAGTCGCTTCAGGAGTAGCTGGTGTCGGAATCGGGGTGGTTGACGCTGGAGCTTCGGTGGTTGCCGTTGGCGTTGAGGTGGTCGGTGCGGGTGCCGTGGTAGACGGAGGAATCGTCGGGGTGAGAGCAGTCGGGGGAGCTGGCGTTACCGCTGGAGCTACTGTGGGCGCGTCAGTGGGCACTGGGGCCGTCGTTGGCTCAGTTGGCACTTGAGCTGGTGTAGGTGCCTCAGTGGCCACTGGGGCTGGTGTAGGCGCATCCGTCGGAGCTGGGGCTGGTGTTGGCGCCTCCGTGGGCGCTGGGGCTGGCGTGGGGGCTTCTGTAGGCGCTGGGGCTGGTGTCGGGGCTTCAGTAGGTGCTGGGGCTGGTGTAGGGGCTTCGGTAGGCACTGGAGCCGGGGTTGGCGCCTCAGTAGGCACTGGAGCAGGTGTTGGTGCCTCAGTTGGTGCTACAGCTGCCGTTGGTGCTTCGGTTGGGGCCGTCGTAGTAGGAGCTGGAGCCGCAGTTGCTGAGGAAGCATCTACCACCGGGTCTGGAGTCGGCGCAGCGGTAGGTGTCTCGGTGGGCACTGGAGGTGTCGTCGGCGCCTCCGTTGCAGGATATGGCGTCTCCGTGATAGGCGGCGCTGCTGTCGTCGATACCGGGGCTTCTGTCACTGGAGGGGCCGTCGTTGCTGGGCTTTCCATTTCTACAGGTGCCGTCGTATCCGGGCTGGTCGGAGGCGGTTCGGTTGCCGTTGCTGCCGTCTGCGTTGGCATATTTGCCGCAGATGCCGAACTCGTGTCGTCCCCGCTTCCTCCTGCAGGAATCACCGTCGCTGGCGGTGCGTCTGTACTTGTGTCCGCCCGTGAATCTGCTGCTTCTGCCGGCGCGGCCGTCGCGGTCTGCGCGTTCACGGTCGCCGCATTCGTCACCAGTAGCAACACCAACACGAACACCGACGACCGGAAGCGCGATGCATGAGTCCGCTTCATCAACGCCTAATAACTAGCTAGTGGAAGAGATAACTGCCTGTACAGTTTGAGTCCTGGCCGTGCCAGGTGCCGGGGGAATGCAATGTCTATCTGTGAGTCGATGACCAGCGTCTGCCTGCCTGCGTACAATGTCCAGTTCCTCCAAAGTCTCGCGACAAACAGCTTGCAGCTCCGCGTCTCGAGTCCGCCGAGCTGTCGAGTGCAGTGCAAGTCCTGCTTGGTGCTTGACCGAGCAAAGGAGACTGGCGTCTCTTTTCGTGTGCCAGCAGGACAGCGGGAAAGCCGGCTGGTGGCTGGTAACATGACCTCCATCTCCTGTCTTATGCCCGAGTCGATACAAAAGTCCTGTGTGGCGAGAGACTCGCATGAACGAAACCAGCTGGGCCAATGGTGTTGTAGCCTTGTGCGAGTCTCGGAGACTGAAGTCTTCGGCCAAGAGCGTCTCTGCAGGTCGAAAGTCTGGTCCAAAG